GGGGGAGGGGGGGTGCAGTCGGGGGTGGTGGGTAGTGGAGGAGAGAGAAGAAAAAAAAATGAAATTCGTTTTCAAAAAAAGAAAACGAAAACGAGAAAATGACTTTTTTTCGTTTTCAGTTTTTCAGAAAAGATAAAAACGTTTTCGTTTTTATTTTTTAAAAGTTTTTACACCAAACACATTTTATGTTTTCGTTTTCATTTTTTAGTCTCGAAAAATGTGAAAATAGAAATGAAAACGGAAACAAACAGGGCCAATGTTTTCCTTAATTAATATCTAAGCCTTAGTTATCATTTTCGTAAAAGTGAAAAGTCGCATTTCAAAGTGCAATAGAAATTAATACTCGAAATGCTTTGAACTAGTGCAAGTTAAAACAAAAATCTTGGGTTCTTTATAAGCTTTAGATACTTCCCTCTTTGTTTCTTAGTCAATGTGGGAATAAAACTCTATTTCAATGTTGCCAAAATTCTAACCTAGTTAAACTATGACTCTATTCATTTCACTAATTCGAGTTTTGTTATAGTAAAAAATTTTAAAAAATAATCACATTTAAATTTTTTACTATAATAAAAAAATTTTAAATAAAATCACATTTCAACTCAAATTAAAAATTTAAATTAACGAACTAAACGGGCCATACACGGTTAAATAACCTCCTCAGTGTAGAAGAACATGGGTGGAAAACTGTTTGAAAGCAAAGAAAGCTAAAGACAAAATTGGGTTTGAAGCATAATGATTACTGTCTTTAAAGTTTTATTTACCCTTACTACAAAAGTTTACTAATGGATTTTTCTGACAAATTACCTCTTAGATACAACGCACCAACAAATTTGATCAGATTCTTTTCAGAACAAAAGATGAGACTGAACTCAAATTGGAGCATTTATTTATAACCAAAATCGTATCTGTTCATGAATAGATGCAATTGTTACAAAAAAATACAACTGTTATAGCATATATAACTTTTGGTTAAACCCGATCAAATTAAGGATTTAAATTAAATATGAGAAACGTAAACAAGTAAAAAGAGAGCTCTTTTAACTCCTTGTGAATTTGAGTTTTATTATAGTAAAAAACTCTAAAAAATAATCACATTTAATTTTTTTATTATAATAAAAAATTTTCACATAAAATCATATCTCAATTCGAATCAGTAAACTAAACGAGTCCTACATGTTTGCATATAAACCACTTGGCTTGCTTTTCTCTTTTTCCATATGAGACTTTTGGTTTTTCATTTTCCAAAAGATGTCACAATTTCTTTAATACTCAGTCCTCTCCAATCTTAATCGTAAGAGAAAATAACACTCTTTAATTCAAGGAAAAAAAAAGGAAACACTTTTATTTTTAATCTTTTATTTGAAACCTTTAAAATTTGAGAATAATACTAAATTTGTTCAAGGAGAACAAAAACATTCTTAAAACACCTTATTGTTCGCATTCAATGAAGCCAATTACATTGTGTTCTTATATATCAGTTCAATGTCACAAACCTACAAAAATGTATATTAATTACTTTGAAAGGTAAAAAGGAAAACTTCCGTATATGTATTCCTCAATTAGCCTAAAATATCTTTAATTAATTTCCTACCAAAACAGGTAAAAAAAAAAAAAAGGGGCTAAAAGCAACATGTTTGAAATTCTCAAAAA